TCTCTGTGTGTGTGTGTGTGTGTGTGTGTGTGGCCAGCTCAGCCCACCTGGGGGCAGGGCTGTCCCTGGGCTTTGCTAAGCTTGTTCTAAGTAGGTGCTTTAGACCACACAGCCATCTCGCCAGCCCCTCTACTGAAGTTCTTAGCTCACTTTTAAATCAGCTTTGTGGTTGCTGCTGTCATTGCTTTCTTTTTTTACTTTCCGTATTCGGTGCAGGGTCTCACTACGCGGCTCGTACTCGTAGTGATCCTCCTGTCTTCAGCCTCCCCAGCACGGCATCACAGGCGCGGGCCACACGCCCGCTCAGTGGCCGGCTCAGTCGGCGGGGCGGCGGCGGGGGTGAGGCAAGCGGCGCAGGTGGTGCCCGGCATTGAACCCCAGTCCCTGCTCTTGTCGTTGCTTTAATGTACAAGAATACACCGCTTTCCAGGCTGGGGAGATAGCTCGGCGGCTTAAGCGCCTGCTTGGCAAGCGCAAGGCTCTGAGTGCGATCCCTGGCACCGCAAATAAATAAATAAAATATAACTTCCATGTATGTATAACTTTCATATATTTATTTATAACATTCCCACGTTTTCCCATGAGATCACAGTGGGAAATGGAAGTACCACTGTTTTAAGTAGCGCTTGGAGGGTGCTGCAGGACAGCAGACAAAAGAGCTGCTCCAGGGAGAAGGTGCAGCGGGGGTGGGGGCGGGGGCGGGGGCGGGGGCTCTGGGGTCTGGGGCCGTAAGGGGTAGAGTTTGTCATAGTGCTCTCGGTACTGCTTGGCAAACCTCTCGAGCTGTTTAAAGGGAAAGTAATTCTGATGCACGTGCTCCTGATGACTCTTCAAGATCAAGATGTTGGAAAACAGCTTGCCACAGGAGTCGCACTCAAGCTTCTCCAGGTTCTCTCCCTGTTCCGTCTTCCCATTCTTCTTCTGCACCTTCTGCTTGTTCTCATTGTACTGAATGACCAGCTCAAAGCCAAAGTTCTCCAGCAAGGCCTTGGTGGCATTCCCCCTGGCGTCTGAGGCAATGCGCGGAGGAAGCATAGATGGCTCAGAACCACCCCCTGGTGCCAGCTCCTTCTTTTCTTTGGCCTTCAAGGTGTCTGGCAACAATTCCTTCGGACCCGTGTTGCCCTCTCCCCCCTCCACACCCTCCCTCTCTCTCTGGCTTTCTTTTTCCTTCTCTTTAATGACCAATTTGTTTTTCTTCTCTGAGTGCTGGCTTGGCTGAAGGAGAGCAGAGTGGCTCTGGGACAGAGTGAGTTGACTTTGCTGCTGTTGCTGCTGCTGCTGCTGCTGCTGTTGTTGTTGCTGCTGCTGCTGCTGTTGCTGCTGCTGCTGCTGCTGCTGCTGCAGGATCTGTTGGTGACTCTGCTGCGGGATCTGAACCTGAGCCTTCAGATCTTCCAGGAGGCCCGGGCCAGTCCCTGTCAGTGTCAGTGCCCCGCTGGTCACTGGCAAGCTCACCTCAGGGTTGAGCTGGAACTCAGCACTGGGGATATAGAAAGGGAAGAGAAGGTGCTGCTGCTGCTGCAGTTGCAGCAGTGTCTCAGTGGTCATGGGGAAGTGAGGAAGGAGGGTGGGGTTAAAGAGCTGCGACTGGATAAGGGCGGCCTGCTGCTGCAGCTCCTGCTGTAAGTGAGCCTGAACTTGAGCCTGAGCCTGGGCCAGTGTCTGTGCTTGCTGCTGCTGCTGCTGTTGCTGCTGCTGCTGTTGTTGTTGCTGCTGCTGCTGCTGCTGTTGCTGCTGCTGCCTGGATGCAATCATATCTGCCAGCTTCTTCCGATTGGTCTCCTTGGGCTCTGAAGGAGAAGCAATGCTGGCACCAATAGGGTTCCCTAGAGGCGGCAACCCAACGCTGTCAGTGGGCACTTGGCTCAGTAAACTGGAGCTTGGTGCGATGCCAGCACTGCTTGGATTGGTGGTGGTCAAGGTGTTACTGCCACTGGTACTCACAGGACTTGGTATGGAGGAGCTCAGGGAGACACCGCTACTGTTCCCAGGCCCATTGCTGCTTCCACTTGCAGCTTCCAGCTTGGCTGCCCTGGCTTTGGTTTGGTGCAACACAGACCTCATGTGGATCTCCAGAGTTGAGCTCTGGCTATAGGCCACATTACAAGTATTACACTTGAAAGGTTTATTGTCTGGGCTGCTGGTGGGCTCTGGCTGACCAGTTGCAGATTCCTGAAGGGCTCTTTTTAACTTATGTAGGTGGGAGACAGAATTGTAGTGCACGAGCAGGATATTCTTCTGCGTGAAAGACTCCTTACAGACAGTACACTTGTAAGGGCGAGAAGGGTCTAGAAACTTTTCCATGGTAAAGTTGGGGCCTTTTCTGAAAGGTAGAGCTCTCTTGGGCTCTGAGCCTGAATCCTCTTGTACTGACCCAGAGTCACTGCCTGTTGGGCTTTGTTTGTCTTCCAAGTCACTTTCCTCCTCCTTGTCTTCTTCCACAATTATGGTATGGTCTTCAGCCAGGGTGGGATCTCCCATGGCCAGCAGGTCCCCGTTGGCCAGAAGGCCACCATAAAGTTGCTGGATGTCAGCCTCACTCAGCTCCAGGTGGCTTGTCTCGAGGTGTTTTTTCAGAGCCTGGAAAGTTCGGAAACTACGCTGACAGAGACAGCACATGGTGGCAGCTCTGATCACATGGTACTGAGAATGGAGCTGCAACTTCTCAATTGTCTTGAACGCCAGGCTGCACTGGTTACAGCGGTACTTGTACACATGGCGATCTGACACAGGCAGCTGAGGCCTCTTGGCATGCACCTCATTAAAATGAGTCTGAAGAGCAGCAGAAGTTTTGAAAACCTGGTTGCACCCCTTTTTCCAGCAGAGAAAGCCTGAGTCTTCTCTTACAGAGCCTGGATCAGCAGAAGAGGGTTTTAAATCTCCACCGTGCTCTGTGCTTGCAGACGGCAAGAGTGTTTTTCCCAGATCCTCTGAGGTTTCTGTAAAAAATAAAAAAATAAAAAAAAATCAAGCCCAGAGATAAAGAAGGCTTTGTTTCCAGGATGATACCCTGAGCCATCCACCTAGCCGGACTTCATGAACACAGAAGTTTTCAACCTGAACCACAAAATCTCTCCACCATGTCAGTATAGTACACATTATAATCAAGGTACACACTACCAAAGATGAATATAGAATGGACAAAAAATGTTTTGATTCTTATCAGGACTGTGTTAGATCAGATCTCACAGTCTTCTAAATAGTATTTACATTTTTAGGGTCAATGAGATAGCTCAGCGGACTAAGCACCTGCTTAGGCAAGCGCAGGGACCAGGGTTTGATCCCTGGCACCACATGTCATGCCAGCCCTGCCCCTGGGGTACAATGAGCCTGTAACTGTGTCCGGGCATGGTGGCACATGCCTGTAATTCCACCTATAATCCTAGCACTGGGGATGCTAAAAACAGGACATTCACTATGAGTCCAAGCTGCGTAGTAAGACCCTGTGCCAAATACATTAAATAGTATTTATTTTTTTTAAATAGTATTTATTTGCTTGACTTTTTGGGGTTCCCTTCTTATGTTTTGGTTCAGCAGATCTGAAATTTAATGCTGCCCTTATTTATAGGAAGATTGAGAAAAACTATTGTCTACTATAATATAAAAATTTTGATACTAGGCAATAGCTTAGTGGTCTAAGCACCTGCCTAGCAAGTGCAGAGACCTGGGTTCAATCCCCAGTACAGCATGCTGTGCCAGCCCCACACCGAGCCAGCCACTGAAAGCAGGCATGGTAGGGCATGCCTGTAATCCCAGCACTAGGGAGGTTGCAACAGGAGGATCACTCCAAATTTGGGACCAGCTAGGGGGCTACAAAAGTGAGCACAAGGCCAGCCTGAAATACACAGTGAGACCCTGTCTCAAAGAAAAAAAAAAAAAAAAAAGTGAACATTCATGTGCCCAATTACTACAATTTATTAAAATGTTTTTCTATAATGAGATCATCAAATTCATAAATGCCCTGACTCTTTTCAGGTCATCTGTCTGCTGCCTAATGTGAAAAAATCCCAAGGGAGAGGCTGGCTAGTGGTGCAGTTGAACTCTTCCTAACTTAAGCCTCAGGTGCCTGTGAGAGGTAAAAAGACATAGGACAGCTTCAAAATTGTGTAACAATCCATGGAGTTAGGAGCCACTAAGTGCCAATGATAATCTGCAGCCCATGTGTCAACAACAATGGTTTCTGCAAATGCACTTCTATGCTTGCTTTAAGGCAGCTCCAGAAGATGTAATGAACTCTGCCAAAGGAGCACCGAGAAAGACAATTAATCTGGTGCCCCCCTCCCAAATCAGCCTACATCTTCCACAAGTCCTTAATAACTAAATCCTCTGCAGTGAACTATTTAATGGCCTAGCATGGGGGGTCTATGGGTGAACTGACTGGTTACTCCCTGATGATATGATCTGAAGTAGACATGAATCAGTACTCACAACCCACTGATTCTCAGATTTTTCTTACCATAAAAATATACAAACAAATGCCAAGAATCAGAGTAGGAAGTTCACCGTGACCGTTCTTTCTCAGTCAGTCACATTCAGCTTCAAATATTATAAAGGATTTCTGGACCCTTGCCCCATGAAAATTTTGGCCTGGGACTGAACCTTGTTTTGATCTGAGCAAGTCAAGATGGATGACACCAACCAGGCTGCTTTCCTGCCTCTTCCAAATTGGGATTCCCATCTCGATCTGGAACGGCTGCTGGGAGAAACATGCTGCTGGGCATCACCATCTCAGGGGTGGTCACCTGAGGGACAAAAGGCAGAGAGACAAGGAGAGTCAAGCGGAGAGGAAAGACGCAAAATAGGAAGGGTTTAAAAATTATTTAATAAGCAAAATTAGCCTTCACCAGGGTAAAGCTGGAGGTGTCACTTTTCATAGCTCACTGAAGATTTATGTTTATTAGACAAAGCTCACATCAGTCAAAAGTGTTTCTACGGTTACATTCTGGACATAATTAGCAGAGCACACTTGAAGAATAATCTTATTATTAATATTTTTCCTTTATGCAGAATTTTGACTTTGATCACTGACAATGTTTTGTCATGGGCTGTGAAACTTCTTGTGCAACCAATTAGGTAGATAAGTTGAAAGGCCCACCTTAAGCTGCTGAAAACATAATAAGGGCCCTAATTAAATCATACCTAGTAAAGTACACTGTAATCTTGAAGCAGGGAGCATTGTAGTACTGTTTTCAAAATGTATTCGGGCAAGAGGAGGAGGGGAGTAAGAGTGAAGAAAAGGGTAAGAAGGAGAGAGGGGAACAAAGGGAGGGCTAAGGACATGCAGACATTCTGGCAGCCTTTCCAGGAGAAACAACATTTTGTAACCCTTTACAAGCTGATATCAAGCACAAACAAGCATTTTTCTGTGACTCCCCTAAGCCAAGATTTCCTCTGGCATCTCTGCCTGTAGCATACAGCACAGGAAACATCTGCCAAGTGTTCGGCCATCAAAGGTGGCCTGCACAGCCTGACGGAGGGGCAGCCCCACTTTGGCCACAGCCATTATTCCCTAATAAATTAATTCCATAATTACCCTGGATCCAAATAGCTTCAACTTGATTTCAGGTCCTCAGGCTTTTCTCTAGGCTTCTCTGCTGCATGGCCAGACACTTGCCTGACCAGTTACCGTTCTCCATTTAAGGTGATGAGCAACCCTCAATAATCCCATACGAGGATCAATCGTTGTTTAAAACGAACGAGATTAGCCAGGTGCAGCAGTGCACACCTGTAATCCCAGCACCGAGGAAAGCCAAGGCAAGAAGATTCAAAGTTCAAGTCCCACTTGGGCAACTTGGTGAGGCCCAGCCTCAAAATCAAGAGGAATAGCCATGTTGCGCAGTGACAGAGTGCTCCTGGGTTGGATTCCCCAGCACTAGAGAAAGAAAAATAAAAGCAATATCCCTTTGTCTGCCATGAGGTAGGAAGGTTAGATACCAGTGACAGTCACAAATTAGAAATTGTCTCCAATTTGATGACAGTTTGAAGAATGGACTGACCCAGAGGGTGCTGAGCAGGAGTGGGACTCGCCTCCGTGCTTTCCACATGGCGCCAGCCCACGCGCGGCTACAGTTTTCCCACACGTGACTTTACTGCAATACCATTTTCACTTTCCATTGCATTAACTGGAACATCCGAATCTTTATTTCAAATTAAATATATTTTTAAGTCACTGCTAATTTTTAACAGTTTCAAGAGCCTGGCATTGCTCAAAACAGCCACTGATGTGTTTACCAAGATCACCAGCGACAGCCAAGACGAGCAAACCCAGGCAACTACAAGCATAGGCATTAAAAAGTCACTCCCCATTCACATTTAAGGGTAGTAGAATTTTTTCAGAAACTCAGATGCCAAGACGTACAAAAATTAAGCAGCAGGCACCTGAGAGAGGAGCAGTGAGGAGCCACACGTTTACGGAGAGCAGCTGTGTGGCAGGGGAACAGGAGTGGTGGCGCAGCCCGGCTCCCACAGGCACCTGCGCCCTCGCACAAAGCTCTCTGCAGCTGGTCGGGCCTAGCTGCTGAAGAGTCGTTAGGAATGAGGTGAAGATTGCCAAACTCATTCCATCTATTTTCTCTTTAATAGAAAGCATTTCTGACCAGTGTGGTGGGGGAGTCCAGCGGGAATCCAAGAAGTGAAAGGTCACCGATTAATTTATAGTCTTCAGCCCAAGGGGGGGCACGAGGTTGGGGCTAAGAGGGGGAGAAAGGGAAAGGAAAAAAGACTCCCCCTCAACCTCCTTTCTCGGTTGTAGCTACAGGATCAGTCCTTTCCTGGGATCTTTAGGAATTATGAAAAATGAATCAGGAGAAATAAAAAAAAAGCCCTACAGAGTAAAAAAGAATAAAATTATCTAACACCTCAGCTGCACATCATTATAGAAAACTGTGGGCTTTTTATACGCATTACAGTAAGGCAGACATCCCCTCTAACAGACTCAGTAAGACGGATCAGTAATTGTTTTCATACACTTTAATTAGAAAAACTCAGATGGCTATGAATAATAATGGAAAAGAGAGACTTTTGCACTTGAAAGGTTGAAGTCAATCAAGTGTGAATGACGGCAAAAAAGGAAAAAAAAAAAGACACCAATTCATCAGCCCTCTGTTGTCTCGCTGCGACTTTAATCATAATTCCTGATTGGGATTCAAGAAGGCAGTAAGCAGCGGTTCTTTGTCTGCCTTCACCTTCCATCAATTAACTCTCCCCGAAATATAATCATCAACCTCGCATGCTCCTCTGCATCTTAATCTGGGCTCCAAACCTGGAAGTCTTGCCCCATATGTGTTTAAGTAACTACTTTTATCTACCTGCCTCTTCTCATCTATAGTATGCCCAACCTCTCACTGGAAGAAAAAAAAAAAAAAAAAAAGGTTCAGTATATAAAATTTTAACAGGAAAGAAATCCCTAGGAGGCAAAAAAGAAGCATCCTTAAAGGAAATCTTAAGGGTCTAGAAATTCAGCTGGGTCTATCTGCATGTGTGTCTGAGCAGAGACTGACAGCGGAGACTGCCCTGCTACGCAGGCCACCGGAGGGCCTCACAGCCGCTTTCAGACACGAATGTGCCCAGGGCTGTGCCCATTCCTTTCTCACCCACCAGCTTCTCCAACTTGTCTCTCCAAGCATGCATGCTTTTTTCTAAAGAGCTCTGCACTGCATGGAACCTGACCAACAGAGCTCACAGAAGATGGGACAGAGGTCCAAAGCCAGAGTCCCCCTCAACACTTGCCTTGGCACTGCCTTTGTGTTCTAATCCTAGCTGGCCAGGCTGCATGGGAGGTTCAGATTGTCTCAGACAGTCTCAGATGGCCAGACGAAAATGGGACAGCCACTCCGTCAACTGTGCTAAGTGCATTCTGTAATGGCATTTTCTTTTCAGGAGGAGAACGAGGCCAAACCCTGATTACAGCATAACCAGGATGACCCTAAATGTCCCTACTTTCAGAGGTCCCCAAATAACTGAGTCCCACCTCCAGTGTCCCCATACAGACAGCACACACACGCCATTTCTGCTCTCTTCCTGCTTTTTCTCCATTTGTCCAAATTTTCCCAACCCACTTCCCCAGGTGTTGGACTCAAAGACGAACAGAAAACTGAGGCTTGGCTAATACATCATCATTTCCAACACCCACACACTGTACTGTCCACAGACCAGAATAATTACCCTAAAAATCAGTCTAACTGTAAACACTGGACACATGTAGTTATATCTCCCACACTCTACTCATAGTGGGCATGAGTATATTAAAATAGATTTAACAAGTCCTTCTAGCTAAGACAATTCAATCAGTAGCATTACTTTTCAACACTTAGGTGTTAAGACTGGCCTCTGGGCCAGCTAAATAGCTCAGTGGATTAAAGCACCTGCAAGCAGGCACAGGAGCCAGGGGTTCAATCCCTGGATCTGCCATGCTGGCCCCGCCCCCGGGACATACTGAGATGGTGAATAAGATTGGGTGTGGTGGCACATGCCTATAATCCCAACTCTTGGGAGGCTTTAAACAGGAGACTCACTACGAGTCTGATCTAGTAGTGAGACACTGAACATCCTGTAGACCCTTCCCTAAAATACAGAAAAAAAAAAAAAAAGACTGGCCTTAGAGGGCAAAGGGTGATGGAGACATGATGTGTTTTCCTGCCACCCTTTCTGAACCATGTCAATCATTTTCCAAGTATGCAGAGGTAATGGGAACATAAGAAGAAACCATCAGTTGAGCCAGGGTACCGAAAATTTGGAAACAGGGCTTCCAGCATGTTCTCACCAAGTAAACAGATCTCATGTAACAGGAGAAATTCTTCCAATTTAAGCAATTCTTACATATAAGAATAGAAACAAAGGAGTCCTACACTGATGCTCAAAATCTTCACGTGTGGGCCACTTCAAATCAACTCTGTGTTGAAAAGGACTTAAGTGACTCTGCTCATCCACTCATTTGACCTCTATTTACTAAACATTGGACAGAGATCTTGTGCTGCATGCGTGTAAGATACAGAAAGCAAGAGATGGTCCCTGCCCCCCAAGAAGCTCACCACCCAGAATAACCTTTTGAGGTCAAAGACCTCTTAGGAAATTTGATGAAAGTTGCAAACTCCTAGAAAAATGCTTTCACACACAGAATACTGCAGACAATTTCAGAGAATCATAGGCTCCCCGGAGGGAAATCATCCATGGATTCAAATGAATTTACCCTCAATCAACTGAAAGGCAACCATGGGCTTATAAATACCTAGCTCCAACCTCCTGCTAGTTTGTTTCATCACTATTTTGGATTATATTTTCCTACCTTTCAAGAGTCTATGAGGTGAATAGGCCCCACAGCCCAAGCCCACGCGTGACACCCAGAGTCTTAGATGTGGTTCCTGTCCTCCCCCACCCCCATGATATGTGGGAGAGGCTACTGCTATTTATTCTTTTTTGAAGGAAGTAGAATTAGAAGGAGCACAGCACCAGCCCGCTCCCAACTCCGCAGGTCACAGACATGCAATATCCAAATTTAACGTGTGCAGCCAGGATCACACTCCAACTTTTTATGGGCTGATTTGTGTAAATTCATCTCTCAAGGCTAGGCTCACACAGGCCGGCCTGGTTAGATCAGTGCAGCCAACAAGTCCATGTGCTGGAAAGCAGAGATTCTTTTCTTTCTTTTTCTTTTTTTTTTAAGACAAAGTGTTGAGCCTGGTTTCTTTGAGACCCTTTATGCCTCCGCTTTGGCACAGCCCCCCGAGGGAGGGCGTCTTTGTGA